GGGGGACCCAGGGAACTTCCCTGCACCCCACAGTGAGATGCTGGTCTTCTTTCCCCAACGTGGGCGCCCAGAATGCTTGCAACTGAGTTTTTTCTTGCCCAGGCATTGAAGATAGAAATTCGAGAGCTCCTTTGTGAGGAAGCTGACTGGCTAAAGAGAAAAGGTCATTCAAAGGTTCCCCAATGTATTTGGCCTATCGCCCCCTTTTAAGGAAAAAAAACACCCTCAATGTCCCCCTAGCAATTAAAAACATTTCTACTACAGTCCCTAAACCAGGATAAAGTGTCGATAGCTGCTTTTTCATGCCCTCTGGCTCATGCCAGCGCCCAGCAGAGGCAGTGCCGCCCGCTTTGGGAAGCACTGACATACAGAGATCATGAAATGTGGGAGTGCCCCAAAGAAAAACCCTGCTGGCCACGCTACAACTTTCAAGGGCTTTCACTGATCACCAGGCTCTGTACTTCAGAGCTAAGAGGTTCTTGGTTCACATGTGTGTTTTTCAAAGTCCAAAGAGATATCATCTTACTGAATTACGAAATCTATAAACCTACAATCATTAAAACAAAGCAGTTCCAATAAAGGAAAAGAGAGCTCATTGGAATGCAATCAAGAGTCCACATACCAGCTCATAAACGTGATGTTAATGAACCTGACTTTAGAGTCGTGAAAAAGAATGGGTTTATTTGGATTTTTATCTTCGTATTATTTTATCCTTTATATATATATATAATTTGCTTGTGATTGTTCTGTTGGGTTTTCCAATTTCTGGAGCACAGAAGGAGTGGATGCACAGTGATAATAACTGATGCAAGTCGATGGGATTAGGTATCAGGCATCAAAGAACAAAAAATCATATCATTGTGAATGACAGGAAGCGCAGAGTGGGGACCCAAAGCCCATCTATCGGCAACTGGACATCCCCTTACAGAAGGGTCGCGAGGAGGAAGTGAGTCAGTCAGGGTGCAGTGTAGCCACAATGAAACATACAATTTTACTCTAGTTCTTTAATGCTTCCTCCCCCCAACTATCATGATCCCAATTCTACCTTACAAACCCGGCTAGACCAGAGGATGTACACTGATACAGATAGGAACTGGAAACACAGGGAATCCAGGACAGATGAACCCCTCAAGACCAGTGGTGAGAGTGGCGATACCAGGAGGGTGGAGGGAAGGTGGGGTAGAAAGGGGGAACTGATCACAAGGATCTCCAAATACCCCTCCCCTCTGGAGGACAGACAACAGAAAAGTAGGTGAAAGGAGAAGTTGAACAGTGTAAGACATGACAAAATAATAATAATTTATAAATTATCAAGGGTTCTTTAGGGAGGGGGGACGGGGAAGGAAGGGAAAATATGAGGAGCAGATACCAAGGGCTCAAGTAGAAAGCAAATGTTTTGAGAATGATGATGGCAACAAATGTACAAATGTGCTTGGCACAATGGATGGATGGATGGATGGATGGATGGATGTGATAAGACTTGTACGAGCCCCCAATAAAATGATTTAAAAAATAATAACTGATGCAAGGGTTTGTAGGGGAGGGAGGAGGGAGGGAGAGTGGGTGGGAGAGAGGGAGGGTGGAGGGATTTCAGGAGTAAACAATGAAGGCAGGGTGGGAGAGAGAGCACTAGAACTGATTGTGATTACACAACTTGTTTTAAAGGCAATGCAACCATGAAGAGAAAAAAGAAAATGTTCTAAAATGATTGGGGAATGGTTATACAGCTCTTCTGGATGTGATTGAACTATTGAATTGTATGATGTGTGGATTGGGTGCAAATAAAACTGAAAATAAGAAGAATGGGTTGTGATCGAATGATAATTGGGAAACAGTCGATGTCCACCACATGTTACTGTTAGTTGCAGTGAATTGATTCGGACTCGTGGAGACCCAGGAGTGGAGAGTAGAACGGCTCCATAGATCAGCGGTTCTCAACCTGTGGGTCGCGACCCCTTTGGAGGTCAAACGACCCTTTCCCAGGGGTCGCCCAATGCATAACAGTCGCAAAATGACAGTGCTGAAGTAGCAACGAAGATAATTTTATGTTGGCGGGTCACCACCACATGAGGAACGGTATGAAAGGGTCACGGCCTTAGGAAGGTTGGGAAGTGCTGCCATAGTGGGCCTTTTCAGAAGCAGGTCACCAGCCTTGTATTTGGCATCATCTCAGGAGGGATTTGAACTGCTAACCTTTCAGCTAGTAGTTGAGCACGTAACCACTTGCACCACCCAAAGACTCACTGATCTCTTAATAGTCTCAAAAAGTAACCACTTCTTTACACATATGTAAAGAATAAAATTATAAAAGTACTGGAAGAAACACACCAGTACTGATTTCCCTCACGCTGATTCTGACTTGCGTGTGTCAGGAGGGAGTGTGTTTGCAATGGCTCATTTGTTTCAGAAGTAGATCCCCAGAAGTAGATCTGTCCAAGGTCCTTCTGAATGAAGTTGAGCCTCCAGCCTTCTGGTTAGCAGCCGAGTGTGCCAGCTGTTTACACCACCCAGGTGGGGTTTCCAAGGTGGATGAAAGTGTAAGAAGCCGTAAAGGAAAAGGCTGATAAACATAAACAGGAGGGAGTTAACATCCAGTTCAGCCAAAGCTGTCTTAGATGATAGAACAAGTTTCCATTTCAGATCATGAAAGAGAACCTGGTCCTAGAACATGGATCAAAAGTACAAAACAATTGTCTTCAGATGTTGAACAACTGACGAAGCCAAACTTTAGCCCTTGAATTCCTGAGACAGGGAGGCACTCTGACCCCTGGAATTCTTCCTGGAGGCACCTCCCAGATCACAGAGCAGAGGGAGGGAGGGTCCTGAACAGGATCTGATGATCCTGATAAGCCGAGCAGAAACACATGGAGTTTGGGAACCAGAGAGCATTTGATCTGGGAGAAGAATATGAAGAAGGGAGCTCTGCTGAGAGAGAGTTCTAGAAATCTGCACAAGGTTCTCTAGGCATACGTGGTGTTACAGACTTGTGTCCGGTCACCAGCTTCCTCACCACCACCAAGAAAAAAAAAAGTTGTCAATTTGGCTAGGTGGCAATTCTCAGTATGAAGTAATTGTCCTCCACTTTGGGCTCTGTTAACTACTAGACCGTGTGTTGTAAACTGTTATGTTCATGAGGCAGGATGCAATCTACAGCACCAAGTTGTCTCTTGAGTTGATCCTGGTTGATGTAGAAAGGAGATTAAACAAAGGAACCGGAGGAAAGAGCTAATGACCAAGAAGGAAGAGCCCAGAATGAAGCGACAATGTTGAACCTGGGGTCCCTGTGTGAATAACCTCGGTCCAGGGGAAGATTGGTGCCAAGACATGTGGCGATCTCCAAGGGACATCAGGCCCACAGTCGGAGACAAGGACCGACCTTCCTCCATACCTGACAGAGAGAGAAAAGCGTCCCCTAAAACCAGCACCTGGAATTTGGACTTCTAGCTTCGGACACTCGGAAAGCATCATTAAAGTAAGCCCATCCCCTGGTGCTATTTCTGTTAGAGTAGCGTTAGACAACTAAGACCCATAAAGGGGATGCACCATGACCAAGCAAAAAACTACTCAAGAAATTCTCATTCTAAGGCGAGTTGGCAGGAAACTGAGTTCCTAGGAGGATGAATGGAATCCGAAGCCTGCCTCTGAGGCGTACGAGTAAAAAGATGTATTGGACCAGCCCACCTGGGACAACTAGGAAGTGTGATGAGTCAAAATCTGGGGGGCGGTTTGGAGTGAGTTAAAAGCCTCTGGGTGCTACAAATGGGTACCAGGGGTAGCAGCAAATGTGGTAGTTAGATCAGTTTATGTCAACTTGATGTATGAAAGTGTAGGGATGGTATCCAACCTGTCAATCAGGCCCCAGCCTGATGATGCCTCCTTGTGGGCGTGGCTTTCTCCTGGGGAGGGCCCTGGGAACCTCCCCCTCTCTCTACCACTGATCCTGAGAGCTGCAGGAGCCTGGCCTTGCTTCCACCGGCCTTGAGTCCGCTCGAACTTCCTGCATCATTGCATGGGGCTCTGTCAGTCTGAAGTGCTACTTATGGACTAGGATTGGACTCATGGGCTTGAGTTGGACTGAGCTGGGATGTTTTCTTGATATATAATTACTTCTTGACATAAAGCTTTTTCTTACACATATATGAATGTCACTGGATTTGTTTGCCTAATCAGCCCAACCTAACACATATGGTACCTGGGGAGTGGAGTCCTAGAGAAACAAATCGTGAAGGTGGAGGGCGAGGCTTGTCTGACCTCTGCCTTGTGGCAGTTTGGCTTCTTTGGCTAGCCAGAGTCCAGATGCAGGCACGCGGTTCACTCGGTTGTTCTCTGGAAAGGGCATAGGAAGTCAAGGTTTTGCCCCTTAGACTTTGTTGCTGGATGTTCCTTACTGAAATGGTGCGTATGAAGTGAATGGATGTTAAAACCTGGCCCAACGCACCGAATAGTTGAAGGTTTAGGTCCGCCCTGAGGTCCCTTAGAAGAACATAACAATCGACTCCTAGAAAATTGGCGTCAATCCCAGGGATACTTGAGCATACTTGAGTGAGTTAAAAGCCTTTGGGTGCTACAAATGGGTATCAGGGGTAGCAGCAAATGTGGTAGTTAGATCAGTTTATGTCAACTTGATGTATGAAGGTGTAGGGATGGTATCCAACCTGTCCATCAGGCCCCAGCCTTGAGCATACTTGAGCTTGCCCTGGGTCAGAAGCCACCCCATGGCAGCTGGCTTACTGACTGGAGTGTGTTGAAGGGCTAAGCATCTCTAATTCCAGCCCCATCGGCACACAAAGGAAGTCCAAGTAACCACTGGGACAGCAGTGGCCTTGGCACATAGTAGTCCCTCCTCTTTATAGTGTGTCAAACTTCAGTTGCTTTACAGTGAAAGCCACTCCCTTTGAAGCCCTTAAATCAACCCATGCTCGCTTCAGGGCAGAGGGGACACAGGAGGAGGAGGAGTTCAGGCAAAAGAGATCAGTGACTGTCACAGCACGGCGCTTCCGTTCATTCAACAAGTGTTTATTGAGGACCTGCTGTGTGACTGGCCTGGGCGAAAGGGAGGCCAAGGGGCTGCCAGGCAGGAAACACAAAGAGAAGTGGAAGGCCCCAGAGAACCAGTTGAGTCCGGGGGGTGCCAAGGCATCTTGGAAGAAGACCCCTCGTCTCCAGTCTGTGCTTAGGCCAGCCCCTGAGCCACGGGCTTCTTGCAGACCCATTGGTAGGTTGCACCACAGTCCATGTCATTCCACTTCTGCTCCACATGGACACAATCCTCGGTCTGCCCATTCTTATGCTGCCAGTTGTCCGGCTGATTCGGATCCCAAAACCTGAACACCAAAGGGCTTCGTTCAGCGAAAGGAAAGGAAGTGGCCATTCCCCCTGGTGGGACATCTGGAACTAAAGTGACATCGCTTCCCAACCCCTTGTGGGCAAAGAACTAGGACGCAGAATGCCCTCAGAGTGGTTCTGCTGAGGACCAGGGAGCGGGAGGGGAGGTGCCCTCTCAGCCTGGGCCCTCCCCTTTATCCCCACCCAGAATCCACACTCGGACCCTTTCAACTGGGGCTCTTTGCAAATAGGCCTGAGCAGGTAAAAGGGGGGTGGGTGGGGAGTTGGGGGGGGTGGGGGGATGTGTATCGGGGAGAGGGGGAGGCAGGACAGGGAGACCCACTCACAGGCTTCCGGGGAGCCCCAGCTGCAGGGCCTGTCCTTTGCTGAGGGTCCTCTAGGAATGGGCCTGGCTGAGCCTCACACTGGGCCTAAGTAGACACACACATGCCTGCCTGCACACATGCATGCACACACACACAACAGGGACACCCAGGAGGCAGTGCCAGGCAGCAGTGGGCTCACCCTGTACTCTGGGCAGCATTGAATGGTGTCCCATCCACCCAGCGCCAGGAACCCTCACGGCCCCTGTCCGTGAGGCCAATCCAGTGGTAAGAGGCACTCGTAGACATGGTCAGAAATTTCTGTAGAGAGAAGACAGAGAGTTGCTGTCTGATCACAGTGTCTGAGGAGCTGTTCTCCGCGTGGTGTGAAGGAGGGGTGTGAGTGGGTCCTTCCCTGGCCGTGCCCTGCAGGGGCCTCGGGGGCATGAAGCTCACTTCTCTGTCTGCCCCAAAGACACATGATCCTAAGGGCTGGGTGATCCAACTTGCTCTGCAGCCAGGTGCCTTGGGCGAAGTCCCCTTTCCTCCATGCTACCTATCCCTGGATAGTCCTAGTCCTTGATCAGAAGTGTGGCTTGACTAGGAGACACCGTTTAATAGGATGGGTTTTGTGAGGAGCATACTCAGTCTCGGGAGAGCCACCGGGGCTGGGCTGTATAGTTAGTTCAGTGGATCCCTTTACAGTGGCAGCAAATGCTGAGCAGGATCCTCAGCAGATGAGCCACCTGGGACTCCTTTGCCTTCCTTCGCTGGTCCTCAAACCTATAGGGGGTGCAGATGACCTTCCCAAGAACCCTCATTCTCCTGCTCAAGGGTTCCCCGTGGCTATGGGATGACCTGACATTAAAATCAAGATCGCTTCTCCCCCCAACTACCAGGAACCCAATTCTGCCTTGCAGATCTGGCTAGACCAGATGATGCACAGTGGTACAGATGGGAATTGGAAACCCAGGGAATCTAGGACAGATGAACCACTCAGGACCAGGGGTGACAGTGGCGATACCAGGAGGGAAGGGGGGTGTAGGAAGGGGGAATTGATCACAGAGAGCTACATATAACCTCCTCCTCTCTGGGGGATGGGCAACAGAGGGGTAGGTGAAGGGAGACGCCGGGCAGTGTAATATAAGACATAATAATAATTTATAAATTATCAAGGGTGCATGGGGGAGGGGGGCAGAAGAAGGGAGGGGGAGGGGGAATAAAAGGAAAACGAGCTGATTCCGGGAAGCCAAGAGGCAAGCGAATTTTGGGAATGATGAGGGCAACAAATGTATAGCTGTGCTCTACACAATTGATCTATGTATTGTGATGAATTGTATGAGCCCCAATAAATTGAGTTAAAAAAAAATCAAGATCGTGACTGGAAGAATGCTGCGAGGAAAAGCAGGGGGCAGCCCGATGCGCCCCAATACTTTAAAGTCTCTGCCCAGGCCTCTCTGAGAGGGGAAAGCCCATGATACGCCAAATGCATCAGCAGCGTCCAAGCCCTCATCGGCTCTGACCTGCTCCCCTGCAGATGTCACCGATGCCAGGTGGGCTCCCTGGGACACGCAGAACTGCTCAGCCCCATGCCAAGACTTCTTATCATCGGAAAAGTAATACAAATGTCTGTTGTAGACCTTCCAGCCGTTCAGGATCAGCTTGAGCAGTTCATCTGGAACGAGAGGGAACCAGGCCCAAGGTGAGCACCAGAAGTTGACCTTCGCCGCCTCTCCCGGGACTGGCCAGTGCAGTTCACTCTCGCGCAACCCTTGAGACCCAGGTCTCCAGAGCAAGGCCCGCTGCAGCTGCACCCCCTCCCACTCCCCTCTCCCCCAGGAGCAGGAGTGCTGAGGCCTGGGCCCAGCCCTTCCTGGAACACTCCAACCCCACTCGGGAGTCTCCCACTTTCTGGCCACGCCATCCTCGTTTCCAGCGCATTGCTTTCACCCTACAGTCCTCTCCACCTCAATTGCCGCCAATTCCTGGGAGATTTTTTTTCCCCACCCCATGGCCTTGCTCACTTCCTGACCTTCCTATCTCCAGCCTCTTTGGCTGTCCTCCACCTACGACCATACCTGGGACACTGGCGTCGTCATCTGATCTGCCCCAGCTCACATTTTCCAGATAGCTCATCCTGACAGCATAAGTCGTAATTCTTCCCCACCACCTCGCCCTTTAAGATCATCTATCCCATGGTTCGGGGGAAAGATGAGACTCTCCACTCCTGTTAAGAGTCGGTCTCAGAAACCCACACGGACCATTGGCCATTCCCTCGTACATGAGAAAGTCGGGCTGTCACGTGCTAGTTTTGCACCCTCAAGGAACGTGCAGTCCAGGAAAGAAGGCAGATATCACAAGGTGTTGAAGATGCATTGCTTTAAAACCATGTGCTTGTTAGAGTAGAGGCTTGAAGAGAGTACGACCTACTTCATCTGACTGGTGGCAGCACCCAGGAGGGACATTCTAAATGAGATGTTGCTTGAGCTGAGTCTCAAAAGACAGAGGAAGCTTTCCCAGTGGCCAACCCCAGAAAGATATTCAAGGCAGTGGAAATAGCAGGCACAGAGACCCAAGGGCATGAAACAGCATGTCACCGCCTGGTCGTTCCAAGTATGAAGGAATGGCCATCTGCTAGGAGATGGGAGCCGATCGCCAACACTACATCCCATGTCAAGGAGTCTGGGTTTTTCTGTGTGAGCACGGGAAGCCCTGAAGAACAGTAATATGTTCCAATTCACACGGGAAACCAAACAGGAAGAAGGCAATCCTAATTGAGCCAGAAATACCAGTCAAAACGCAATTGCAATGTCTCAACGGGACTAGGCCCAGCAGCAGGAGCATCGCCTGGACACTTGGGAGAAGCGCAGAGTCCTGGGTTCACCCCAGACCTGCTCAGTCCTAAAGGGTTTCTTAACCCTTTTGAGAGCAAATTATTTCCTGCTCTGGGGGTGGTGGGTGGGTGTGTGTGTGTGTGTGTGTGTCACTCAAGGGTGAGAGAGAGAGAGACCTGTGTTTTCAATAATGGACAGTATTTTGAAGTAACATGGATTTTGATACGAGCACTAGAGCCCTGTGGTCCCAAGAGCCACTGGAGTTGGTGGGAGGAGGCCCCGGTTCCTTCAGAATCACTGTTCTGTAGGCCCCAGTCAGATGGCAGCACACACTGACCGTGGGATAACAGCTTCCCAACGTCTCCGAGGCAGAAAATGCAGGTGGGTGGTATAAGAAGGCTTTCAAAAAGTTCCTGGGGGGAAAATGGAACTTTTTGAAATCAGAATTTTTCAACAATTTTTGGAAGGCCCCTTCCCCCTCCACCCCACCCCCTGCCATCATGTGTCCCACAGGTCATGAAAAGGTTCACAGGCTGAGTTTTAACAAGCCTTCCAGATCATTCTGATGCTCCCTAAACGATGAGAACCTCAGTGCCATGGAGTGAGGACGGACTCAGGGCCCCTGGAGGACAGGGTAGACTGACCCCTGCCAATCCCTGAGCCCGTAACAGTCGCCGGGAGTAAGTAGAAAGCCCCACAGAGTCACTGGTGGTTTCCAATTGCTGACCTCATGGTTAGCAGCCAACGAGTCAGCACTGCGCCACCAGGGGCTGGGCAAACCATGGCCCTTGGGCAGACTCTTTCATAAATGGCGCTTCATTGCCATCGACAGACTTCGCTTACTGTTGTCCACAGCTGCCTCACTCTCCCACCGCAGGGAGAAACGGTCTGGCCCGTGTGCCTACCACATTTACTGTCTGATCCTTGAAGAAAAACAATGAGCTAATAGTTCTCTACCCTGAGTGCCTGTTCGATTCACCTGGGAGCGTTTTAAAACTCCTGCAGGCTGCATCAGCTCCACCAGCAATGCTCCTGGAAGCAGCAGTCAAGAGACCCAATGACGCAATGGACTCCGTGAACCTGCTGCACGAGAGCTGTTTCAAGTGTTGGAAAGCAAGGATGTTACTCTGAGGACTAATGTGCACCTGACCCAAGCCCGGGTCTTGTCAATCGCCTCCCATCCATGGGAAAGTTGGACCTCGAACAAGGAAGTCTGAAGAAGAGTGGTGCGTGTGACTGTCCTTCGCCAGCCCCGTCATTCAAAATGCCACGGACTGCTGAAAGGACAAAGGGGCCTTCTTGAAAGAGGTCCAGCTAGAATGCCTCTGAGAGGCGGCCACAGGGAGAGGCTGTCTCCCCTACTTTGGGCACGTTGTCAGGAGAGACCATGTTTGGTGTAGAGGGGCAGTGACCAGACGGCTCAGCACAGTGGGCTCACACAGGACCACCATTGTGAGGACAGCACTGTGATGGGCGGGGCGCTGTTTCATTCTGTTGTCATGAATCAGCACTGGGTCAACTGCACTTAACCACAGCAACAGGCTACATCCCAAGCCCCTCACCCCCCTTAAGAAAAAATCCGATTTCCGCAGTTGATTCCCAGGCATCCGTATTTTAAAGAGAGTTTCCAACCTGTTTGAAAAGATGCAGCCCCAGCCTGTGGAAACAAGGGCAGCATGCCTGCTGTGTAGCCACCGACTCTTTTGTATGTTAGCTTTTGGACCAGGGCTTCTGGGTTAGGTATGGGGCTGCTAACCAGCAGGTCAGTGGTTCAAACTCACCTATGACTCTGAGAGAGAAAGGTGAGGCTGACAATTCCTGTAAAGATTTATAGTCTCAGGACCCCTCCAGAGGATCGCTGTACGTTGAAATCAAGTCGACCGCAGTGAGTTGGGCTCCAGTGTGTATGAACCAAGCAGCTGCACGCCCTTGAATGTGGCGGCCCACCACACCACAGCACACACTCAACGCGGGGCCACCCAGCAGCATCTCAGAGAAGTACCACTGGCGATCTCCCAACCCAAACCCAAACCCACTGCGCCCATTTTGACTCACAGAAACCCTATAGGAGAGATGGAACTGCCCTATGGGGTTTTCTGAGGCTGGGCATCTCTACAGAAGCAGACTCTATCACATCTCCTTCCCACCGAGCAGGGTGTGGCTGCGAACCAACCTTCTGGTCAAGCTCTTTAAGGCCATTCGGCCACCAGAGCTCCTGGCCCGTCTCCCACGCAGCCTCCCACTATCTGACACGCAGGAGATCTGGTTGTGACACAGAACAGACGCCGCCCTGGTTTCCTTCTCCCACTGGTGAGTCTTGAGAGAGCCCGGCGAAGCCGTGGTGCAGTGCTTGGCTGCTGACTGCAAGGCTGGCTGTGTAAACCCACCAGTAGTGGCTCTGTGGGAGAAAAGACCTCGAGACTGCTCCCGCCAAGTTTACAGCCCACGAAACCCTACGGGGCAGTCCCCCTCTGTCATGGAGCTCGCTGTTCTATATTGGAATCAAGTGGTTCTAATGGGCCGCCAAGGCGGAGAACTAGTAGACAGAGCCTTGAGTTACAAGGGCAACAGGGGGCACGGAGAGAGGTGTTGATCAGGGAAGCCTGCCAGGACCACAGCGTCATGACTAGTGCTAACCGTGAACAGGAAGCAGAAGGAGCCATTGGCGCTGCCTGTCAAGCTCCTCCTCCCCCGCCCTTCTCTTCAGCAGCTGTTCCAAATGGTCCCCGGCTCCCTATGCCCACCTTTCCCCTTAGCAAGGACCCCACCCACCCACTCTCCAGGAATGTGGTTACTGTCGGCTCCCATCACGTTCATCCCCGACTCATGAAGACCTCATGCCCATCAGAACAAACCTCGCCTGTGCTGGGCCGTGGACAGCACCATTGTGACCCACAGGGGTTTCGTTGGCTGGTTTTTCAGAGGTAGCTTTGCCAGGGTTGTCTTCCTAGCCTGTCTGAGTCGGGAAGCTCTGCTGACATCTGTTCAGCATCATACAAGCTTCCAGGAAGAGACAGGTAGTGGCTGCCCTGAGAGACGCCAGTCAGGGACCAAGCCCAGGCCTCCCACATGACGGGAATCCTACCCCTGAGCCACCACTGACACATGAAAGGTCAACGCTCTCCATTTTGCCTTCCCGCTGCCGCAACAACCTGGGGTGAACATCTACTTACAACCCCCGTCTCCTCTAGCCTCAGAGGCTCAAGGATGGTCCCAACTGAGGCCCATCACTCCGTTGTGCACGTCATCTCCCCAGGCCTCCCCCTCCTGGCTGCGGTCTCTCAGTGGACCTCACATCAAGGCGACTGACTGTTCTCTAGGAAATGCGCTCAAAGAAATTCACCGGAACGTTAGCAGTGGGTTCATAGGGACAAGGGGACAATATAGAGGACAATACAGGCGCTGCTTTCTCAGCGTTCGATGTCAATATTTGCTACCATACCTTTTGTTAATATGTTGACTCTGTAATGGAAAACGGTGCATGTTGCTTGTCCACCCCTCCCACAACCATACTCAGCCCCTCACTTCATCCTCACCTCCCGCCGTCCCTTCTCAGGCAGGACCCCCCCAAAGGCTCAGTTCCTGATCTCTCATTTACCCTCAAATGACTGCGTTCTTGTCCCCACACCACCACCACCCTTAAAACTTCATTCCAAATGGCTCAGTGGTCTCTTCCAGTTCTTGGCTCCCTTGACCCCTATGGTCTATGCCAGAACTATCCCTGCCCTTCTTAAAATTCTCTTCCCTTGGCTTCCCCAACTGCTCATCTCCCGTCTCTAAGGACTTTTCTTCAGTCTCCTTCCCACACACCTCTTTCCTTCTGGCCTCCTGAACGTCCTGCTTCTACCCTGAGTAGTCCCTGGCAGGGATTCCCTAATAAGCAAAGTAAGCATGGGCTTGCTTGTGCTTACTTCCTCCCCCGTAGCGGAAAAGTTCATGTGCTTGTGTGTGTGTGTGTGTGTGTTGTTGTTGTTGTTGTTGCTGACCACAGCAAAGAAACTGTTCACCGCAGGAGAGGAAGTAAGCACAAGTCAGCCCACTTTAACTTTACTTAAGACAGTGGTTCTCAACCTGTGGGTCGCGACGTAGCAAAATGACAGTGATGAAGTAGCAACAAAAATAATGTTATGGTTGGGGGTCACCCCCACACGAGGAACTGTGTGAAAGGGTCACGGCATGAGGAAGGTTGAGAACCACTGGCTTAAGAAGTCCCTGCCAGGGCTTGTGAATTTGAAGAGAAGGTTTGATTCTGTAGGAAGGTGCCGTGGTCTGGGAAGACAAACAGATGCCAGCTAGACTTGATGTGTGTGTGGGTGGGGCGGGGAGGGTGGGGGGGATGAAATTGTTCACGACAGATTAGTAAGTAAGCACAATTGAGCCTATGTTTATTTTGCCTGCTGAGTCATCCAACACACACTGTTCAAGCCTCTTCTCAGAGCACATTTTGTCTCCTGAAAACTCCTGTGCTCCTGATGCTACAACCTACACCAGACTCCAGATCCCAGCCTTCATGGGGCCAAGACCTCCCTCCTGAGCGCCAGGCAACCTGCCACTCAGGTATCTCTAGAGCCGCCCAGACTCGGCATGTCCCAATCACGCTGCTCTCCTCTCGTTATCCCTTCTCGCCGCCCCCACTCCATCATCCCTCATCCCCTTAAAACCTCGCATCCTCCTTAAAACCCTGCAGTGGCTCCTCACTTCCCGCAAGATAAAACCCCGACCGATCCTACAGCCTCAGTGCCCCACGGCCTTCCAGGCCTGCCTGCCTTTTCAAACGGCACTCACCCACCCATTCCCACGGCCACTGAGTCGATGCCAACTCACCGGAACCCACCGGGCCACTTCTACCCGGTCCTATAGGGTTTCGGAGATGGGAAACCTTTACAGGGACAGACAACCTCCTCTTTCTTCTGCACAACACCTGGTAGAATGTGAACCGGTGACCTCACAGCATTCCAACAGCTCTCCCACAGCACCCCCAGAGCGGCCTTATATGTCATTGAGTTTGGGACTCCCTCCACTACCCATACTCCTTCCCGGAGAGGTCCCATGCTGAGAGCGGCAAACAGACTGAAGGGCCAGAGGAGCCCTGAGCAGGCCATGCTCCCCGGCCCAGCCACCCCGCCCTCTACTTACTCTGCGTCCTTTGCAGCTGCTCCTGGGAAGCAAAGCCCGAGCGCAGCGTCTCCAGTTCGTTCTGCTTCTCCTGGATTTGGGCAGTGAGAGTCCTGGTGCTCCGTAAGTCACCTTGGAGCCTCTGGATGTCGGCACTGGCCTTCTGCAGGCTGCCCCCCAAGGTGCGGACCTGGGTCTTCAAGGCTGCGCCGTCCTGCAGGCCTCGTTTTAAGACCTGTATCTCTTTATTGGCATTTTTCAAGTTCTCATTTAACACTGGAATCTGAGAATTCAAAGCATTGGCAACTTTCAATTCAGCTTTTAATGCCTGGACCTGAGTGCTCATCTGCTTTAAGCTGCTGTTGGCCATTTGGCCCTGGGCCGTGGCCCTCTCCAAATCCGTTCTCATCGCCTGAATCTCACCACCAGCCCTTTCCAAGTTGCCTTTGAGTAACTGGATCT